GCGGAGTTGCCCGCAGTGCGTCCGGCGCTAGGACCCGCGGGGGCCTCCCAGGCCAGGCCCCTTCCGCCCCCCACCCTGCCCTCCTTTCCCACCCCAGCCCCAAAATGAGGAAACGGAGCAAGTTGCACCGAGTTGTACAGCCGGGGCCGTCTCGGGGTGCGCAGCTGGCGCGCGGAGGCCCTCCCGGGGGCGGGCGCGGCTTCCGGCCGGGAGACGCCCCCTGAGCAGGTGAGCGCCGGAATGAGAGTGGACAGGGAGACCGTGGGGCGTGGTGGGGACCCCGAGGGTGCTGGGTGGGGAGGCCAGCGTGCACGGAAGGGGCCGTGTGCACGCGCGTGTGCGCGTTCCGGACGCGCGGCGTATACTCGACTGAGCTGGGGGGTGGTTCGAGCCGATCAGTCACGGGCAGGGTGGGGTGCAGGGTGGGGAGTGTTTTTCAGGGAGCAGGGGTGCGCGTCTCCGAGCACCCGCGGGTGTGTAGAGGGATGCGCGCGTAGGGCCGAGCGGCGTGGTCACGGCCGTACGTGTGCGCGGTGCCCAGGTGTTCCAGTGTGGTTGTGTGTGTGCTGAGGGCGACCGGGCAGGCAGGTACACACGTTCCTGGCCGTCCGAGCGCCTGTGCGCGTGAACTCGTGTGTACTCGTGTGTGCCCACCTGTCTCTAGGTGGACGCGCCTTTGCTTGCGGCCCTCGCGTGCCTGTGGGTCCCTGTGTCCGAGCCCCGTGTGTTTGTGTGCGCGCGGGTGTACATGGATCAATGTGCGTGTGAGTACACGTGGGGCTGGGGCGCAGACTGGAAGGGCTAGGACTCACCCCCACCCCCTCTTGCCCAGGCACCTGAAGTGGATGAAATGGGGGACCCTCTGGCGATAGGGGGTGGGAAAGCTGGCTGCCCCTTCCCCGGCATCCATAAGAGACTTTGTGTGCTCTCGTGGGTAGGGTGATCAGAGAGGCTGAGCTGGCCACCAGGGGAGCCCAGCAGGGCTGCACCGCCCCGCCCCCACCCGGGGTCAGAGATACTTGGAATGACCTTGACTCGTTCCTGATTTCCTTGCCCTGCCCCCTGCCCGCCTCCCAGAAAAAGAGGAAGAACCAAGCAGGAGTGGCACTGAGCTCCTCACCCACTGTGCCGACTGCCGAGGCCTGAGCCAGGCGTTCTGCCCCCTGCCCACCCTGCAGCTCCTGGCTCGGCCCTCCCTTGCCTCAGTTTCCCCTTGGGGACCATGGCCGGGCGAGGCTCCGTGGTTTCCTTGCTGGCACTCCCTGGCCATGACTCTGCTAAGGAGCCCCCCCAGGTAAAAACCACTTCCCCAAAGGGGCTCCAGGAGCCAGGGTCTAGGTTGCCTTTCAGGAGGCGCTCTCTGCCCCCTAGTCTTCCCCCCACCTAGCCTGGCCTGGTAGTTGCTGAATCCCGGGGTCCCCGTCTGGTTGGACCTGGGACTCTGAAGCTCGTGTCTGCCCCTCCCCAGGTGAGTTCCCGCTTCCTCCGTGCCTGGCACCCCCTGCCCATCTCAGCCAGGATGCCCGCGGTGAGTACCCCCAGGCTGGAGACCCTGCCTCAGCTCAGACCCTTGTGACCGCAGCTTCCGGAGGGGAGGGGGATGCAGCTCCTCCCAGGGGAGGAGGGCTGTCTGACCAGCGCCCCGCCTGAGGGGCTCTGCCCAGTCTTCCTCTGTTGCTCTTGAAGTCAGTTTTCTTCCTGACCTGTCTGGGGCCCTCTGTGACTGTCTAATATTTCTCTCTTGTTGGTTCTCTGGCTCTTTTTCCTCCTTTGCCGCTTTTCTCTGTTACTTTGTCTCAATCCTACTGCTGCCTTTCTGTCTCTCCATCTCTCTGTCTCCCATCTCTTTCCCCCTCCTGTCCTCTCTCCGCTGCTTCCATGTCCTCCCCGGTCTCCTTCCCTGCACCCCTCCATCACTCAGAGGCGCTGGGCCCCAGGGACCCAATGCATCACCAAGTGTGAACACACGCGCCCCAAGCCCGGGGAGCTGGCCTTCCGCAAAGGCGACGTGGTCACCATCCTGGAGGCCTGCGAGGTGAGGCGGGAGGGAGGGTGTGTGCATGAGCGTGCATGCATGTGGGTGCTCGGGGTGGGGATCGGAGCTGCCTCCTCCAGGACCCCGACCCCTCCCTCCCTCCCTGGCAGAGCAAGAGCTGGTACCGTGCCAAGCACCACGCCAGCGGGCAGGAGGGGCTGCTGGCTGCTGGCGCCCTGCGGGAGCGAGAGGCCCTCTCAGCTGACCCCAAGCTCAGCCTCATGCCGTGAGTGGGGTGGGAAGGCCAGCGGGGAGTGGAGGTCCCTGCTCGTTCCTGTCCTGCCCGCCCGACCCGCCCGCCCTCCACCGGTGGCTGCAGGTGGTTCCACGGGAAGATCTCAGGCCAGGAGGCTGTGCAGCAGCTGCAGCCACCCGAGGACGGGCTGTTCCTCGTACGAGAGTCGGTGCGTCACCCTGGCGACTATGTGCTGTGTGTGAGCTTTGGCCGTGAAGTCATCCACTACCGCGTGCTGCATCGCGACGGCCACCTCACCATCGACGAGGTGGTCTGCTTCTGCAACCTCATGGACATGGTCGAGGTGGGGGGCCGCTGGGCAGACACGGGACTCCCGGGTCAGGACCCCCAATGCAGAGATGGAGACTGCCCCGCCCTGTCCCCACCCACTGGGCAGACATGGCACCCCCCAGAGCAGGACCCCCAATACAGAGAGGGGGCCACCCCACCCTGTCTCCACCTGCTGTGCAGACACGGCATCCCCAGAGCAGGACCCCCCAGTGGAGAAATGGAGGGACTGGTCCTTGTGGACCTCTGAGACGCCACCCTGGCCACTGGGCAGACACAGGAACCCCCAGAGCAAGCCCCCTAATGCAGAGATGGGGGGACAGGTCTCCATGGACCTGCAAACCCTGACCCCATGCCTGTCTGCTGGGCAGACATGGGAACCTCAGAACAGAATCTCCGTAATGCCAGAGATGGCCCCCCATGGACACCAGAGTCCTCCGGGTTTCACCCCCAGAGTGGACCAGGAACTGGGGTGACTCCCAGGGGTCCCCCAGGAATCTCCAAGTTAACATGGGTCCAGATGACCCCCTCCTACTGCTGCCCAGCATCCTTTCCTATTCCCATGGAAACCAGCCCACCCAGTCCCTGGGAAGCCAACCCCTCTCCTCCTCCCCAGCTCCCGCCCACCCCATCCAGAGACCACCTGGGAAGGGGACAGTGGGGTCAGGGGTCCCCCAGACCCCAGATCAGGCTCGTGGCCGCCTTTGCATCCCCACTTCCCCTCCCTCCGCAGCATTACAGCAAGGAGAAGGGGGCCATTTGCACAAAGCTCGTCACCCCAAAGCGGAAGCAGGGCACCAAGTCGGCGGAGGAGGAGCTGGCCAAGGGTAGGGGCTGGGGCCTGGGTCGGGGACCTCTTGACCACCAGATCCCTTGTAGGCTCCCATCCCTTCCCACGTTATCCTAGCCTGAGGAGCAGGCTCCTGGGTCCCGGCATGTCAGGGTCCACCTCCAAGCCTTCTAAGGACCGGATCACCTGAGCACATACCTGTGTCTCACCTGAGCATGTACCTGTGTCTATCACCTGAGCACTTACCTGTGTCTATCACCTGAGCACATACCCGTGGCTGTCACCTGAGCGCGTACCTGTGTCACCTGAGCATGTACCTGTGTCTAACCTGTGCACGTACCTGTGTCAGTCACCTGAGCACGTACCTGTGTCTCACCTGTGCACGTACTTGTGTCTATCACCTGAGCATGTACTTGTGTCTCACCTGAGCACTTACCTGTGGCTGTCACCTGAGCGTGTACCTGTGTCTCACCTGAGCACCGACCTGTGTCACCTGAGCACGTACCTGTGTCTCACCTGCGCACGTACCTGTGTCTCACCTGAGCATGTACCTGTGTCTGTCACCTGAGCACCTGCCTGTGTCTGTCACCTGAGCACATACCTGTGTCTCACCTGAGCACGTACCTGTGTCTCACGTGAGCATTTACCTGTGTTTGGGGCTGTGGGACAGAAAGATAAGACCTGGGCTGCCGCTGGGGCCAGGCAGAGGCACCCATAGACACAAATTAGCCAAAGATTGAAGAAATTCTTACACCTGTGGCTTCTCCTGTGTTCCCAGCATCCAGCATGTCACCTGAGCCAGAAAGCTAGGCCTGAACGTGGCCTGTCCCGTACTCCCTGAATCCCCTCCATCAACAAGTTCTTTGCTGTTGTTAGCTGCTATCAGGTCAGCCCTGACTCATGGCACCCCCGTGCACAACTGAACAAAACACTGCCTAGTCCTGTGCCTTCCCCATCATAGATGGGGAATTGGGCCGTTGTGATCCATAGGGTTTTCACTGGCCGATTTTCAAAGTTGATCACCAGGCCTTTCTTCCTAGTCTTAGTCTGGAAGCTCTGCTGAAACCTGTTCAGCATCACAGCAACACAAAAGCCTCCACTGACAGACGGGTGGTGGCTGTGCATGAGGTGCATTGGCTAGGAATCAAACCCAGGTCTCCCTCATGGAAGGCAAGAATTCTACCCCTGAACCACTAACACCAGTTAAATCTGACCCCCTTCTCACCCCTGCAGCCCCTGCCCCAGTCCGCTCTCGGGCCCTCCCATCAGACCACCTTCTCCTAGGGGGCAATCCCCCCTTCCAGCCCCGGGGGCATCTACATGAATATCCACCCACATCACTCCCCTGGTTTAAAGCTCTTCCGTGGCTCCCCCGCCCTCCAGAGCCTCCCCACCTGGCCTGAGCCTCCTTTCCAGAGTCATCCATGCCCACTGGGTTCATTGTGTTACTCTTCATTTCCTTTCATGCCTCTGTGCCTTTGCACATTCTGTCCCCTCCACTGGAATGCTTTTCCAGCCATAGTAAAATCCTCAATATTCAAGGGCCAATTAAAATGCCCCCCTACCACGCCCACTCCTACAGTATTTTGCACCTAATTATTCTGTCTGTCTCCTCTGAAGAACATGCCTCTCCCAGGGAAATCTAGATGTCTGGGGGATGCCAATTGGGTGGAGACTAGTGTCCCCCACCTGATCATACCTTAAGGGCTTGGGATTTGGAGGAGCATTAGGGAGAAAGAGGAGGAGGCCTGCAGAACCAATGAGAGGAGCGGGGAGAGGAGAGGACAGAAATGGAGGCCAGAACAGAGATGGGGACAGAACACTGGAAGGTTCCAGAACCTTTATCCCATCTCTATGTTTGTTGTAATTTTTTGTGCTGACTGTGTTCCTGGGTGATCAGAGGTGGGGTATCTGGAGGGACACCATGTACCCAGCTAGCAGAGGAGACAGCAGCTCTGCCATTATCCCGCTAGGAAACCCCTTTTTGCTCAGGTCATCCAGACGTAGACTACGTCGCTTGCAACTATAAAAATTGGTACCAGGAGTGGGGTGTCTCAGCTACGAGGATGTGGGGAACAGCAACCACCGCATTTTTCTACAATGAGGGTGTTGTAGGGGACATCAACTGGTCTCTCGCCAAGTGGAGCCCCCCCATGGGAGGGGCTGGGGAGCCAGTTCCCCTCTGACCAGGTCCCCTTTCCACAGCTGGGTGGTTATTGAACCTGCAGCACTTGACCTTGGGAGCCCAGATCGGAGAGGGGGAGTTTGGAGGTGAGTGAGGAGGTGAGAGGGGGAGGGCTACTGAACCACCTACTAGCTGTGCAGCTGAGCCTGTTTCCCCCTCTTTAAAAGGGGGGTAACGACAGCCGTTGTGAGGAGTACCCCCACTAAATATTAGCTATTCCTTCACACCTCCGTGCTCTTGCACACGATGGTCCCTCTGCTTGGAATGCCGTTCCCTGAAATTCTTATTCCAGAAGGTTCTAGGGCTTACACCAGGGCTTGTCAAACTCTTTCTGTAAAGGACCAGAAAGTAAATATTTTCAGCTTTGTGAACCAGATGACCTCTGCCCGGTCTACTCAGCTCTAGGATTGTAGTAAAACCAGCCACAGCAATACGCAAATGAATGGGTGTGTCCATGTGCCAATAAAACTTTACGGGGCCTGACATTTGAATTTCCTATCACTTTTACACGCCACAAAATAGCATTCTTCCGTTGTCCCCCCCCC